TAGTTGCACGCAATTGGTATAGTCATACCTGGAAATCTCTTTTCTACAAAGCTTTTATCCATCTTTGAGAGTTAAGAAGCCTTTCTGTAAGGAAATAATGAAAGACTAGCAGAAACACTACAGAAAAGTTATCAAACATCTTAAATTGGGTTTCCGGATTTGAAGCATTTAAGAGCAATATATGGTATCCCTGGCTTTGGAAGAATTTAGTGGATTTGATCCTGGAGCTTGACAGTATGAGGGTGAGCCTTATGTTAAAATGGGCACCGAGGATCCAGCCTCCTTGGAGCAACTCCGGTCATTATTCTAACTCCTGTTTCATTAGATTTGGTTGAGACTTTCTTTTCAGTCTAACAAGGCCGTGGACTATCTCATCATACAGAAAACAACAGATGTAGTTGTTAACTGAACTACTACCCACACTGAAAGAATGTATGTCACACGGTTTCCTTACAGGCCCTATAAATGGTCTAAATTAAATCTTGTAGCACTAAGACACAGACTTTTCCTCTCCAATTTTATACTACTAGTAGATAGATCCTCTTACAACAGGCCTGCTTGCTCTGAGATAAACTTTTTGACTGCTCACACTTCAGCAGAAATGTTCAGAGGAAAGGATGCAGAACAAGAAGATATTCTGGATCTAATGTGACATGCATGACTTTTCTTTTTTGCAAGATACAGAGCACATTTCCTTCTGACACACAAAAACAATTAATTGGATTTGGACACACACACTGCTTCTTTTCTATTTAGCCCTTATAAGGTGAACTGCTCTCTTCATCAAATTAAGGCTGCTTTCCTTACCACCACAGCCTTCACTCTTGCACAGACAAGGTATTTCCAGATCACCATAGCACTGTGCCACATTCTGCAAAATCTTGGGCTACCACAACTATATTCAGGCTTATATTCAGCTATGGGCCTTATACCCAATAAGATAAGTGCTTTTTCTTTCTTGCTGGGTCATATTTGTTTTCTTTTCAGTATGTCACTGTCCTGAGTACAGATTCATTCACCTTGTTTCTCAAGCAGACCTTGCAGCCTGCCCCGAGCTCCACTCCACTCTGGCAAGACTGCTGTCAGTGCCTGTTGCAGCTGCAGTTTAAACACACCCCGCGCATTTCTCTCTAGACAGGCCCTTTGAGAAAATGTTCTGCTTCTGAAGGAGTAAGCTTCACCACTCATGATTACAGCTTTTCAGTCTGACATCACTGAAATTATTAAAGGATCTCCTTCAGGCCAAAGAATCACAGTTGCAATAGAAAGTAAAAATGATTTTCCAAACAGGCCATCAATATTATTTGCTTTTATTTACACGTCCTAACTCTAAGGTTTTAGAAAAGCTGTCCCGCTTTCCTCTTCTACAAGGCTACAAAAGACTTCTGCAACAGGCACAGGAAAAAAACTTAACAAGATAAAAACTGAATGTTAATACATGTGGTGTTTTTTTTTTTTGTGAGTTCAGCATTATTAAAACCACTCTACAGCTTCCAAATGTCCTATAAATTGTAAATAAATACATCGGTGAGTCCTACTTTCAGCTAAGCATTAAGGTGAGATGGTGCCTGTACCGCTGATCCACACCATGTGTCTCCAGCTTTGAAAATCACAGCAGGCACACTGCTTGGCCATTAAGGCAAGAGTATTCTCAATTTTTTTTTCCACTGGAAAAACAATAAGCAGTAACTGTTTCACAGAATTTACAGCCAAAGAGCAAGGTATTGTATCAGTGAGGTGAAAAAATTTCTCTCTAAACAAGCGACGAAGAACAACATGAAAAACGGACTTTTCTGCTCCTGCTATTTCTCCAGGGGGAGCAGAAGAAGGGAGAATCGGAACATGGCCCTGCAAAGAAGCTGGGCCCAGCCTTCCTGGCACAAAACCTGTGAGCGCCCTTGTATTTATCTCCCTTTTTGCTGTAGGCTGCTGAGAACATTTCGTACTCATTCATGCTCCCTCGTTTACATCTCCTACGCCAAGGCTGTGTCAGGTCCAAGAAGACCTTTAAGACTCGGTCGCCGTATGGGACCTGTGCCACAGACCCCGAGCAGACAGACAGACAGACAGACGGACCCACTGAGGCCCACCCAGCACGGTCGCGGAGCAGACGCCGGCCAGCCACCCCCCTGCCCCCTCCACACACCCCTCGGTTTCCAGCAAGGCACCGATTCCTCCCCGGTGTCCCGCCAGCCGCGACCCCCGCACCCACCTTACTGAGGCAGACATCCACGGCCGGCTCTCGCAGACGGACGGTGGCCTTGCCCTCCTCCACGAACCGGGTGAAGAACCGCTCGATGTTCTCCTGCACCTACGGGGCACACCGGGCGCTCAGCAGCCGCGGCGGGACGAGAGGACCCATCTCAGCCCCCGGCCCCGGTCCCGGCCCTCCCCCCCCGGCGCCGCCATCCCCACCTTGTAGCGAGCACCGACCCGGTCCCTCGCCGTGCACACCATGAGGTAAACGCCGCCGCTGCCGCCGCCCCGAGCCCGTCCGGGCGGACGGCCGAGGGAGAGGAGGGCCCTGGTACCGCGGCCGCGGCCCCGTAGCCCGCAGGTGGGCAGGAGCCGGCTGACCACCTCCACCTCACACTGCAGCCGCATCGCCGCCCGCCCCGCCGCCGACCAACGGCCCCGCTCAGGGGCGGAGCGGGGCGGTGGCACCGCCCGGGGGCCTCCCGCCCTCTCCGCGCACGGGCGACGGCCGCGATGCCTGGCTCCCCTGACTCCCGCGGACCGACCGACCGACCGCCGTCGCCGGTCAGGGGGAGAGGGACCGCCCGGCGGAAGAGGATCGCAGGGCGGGAAGGGAGGGCGGCGGTACCGGCAGCACCGGCAGCCGCGGGCAGCCCGAGCGAGGGGCCCTCAGCCCGGGGATGTGCGCCCTGGAGGAGGCGCTCGGCATCGCTCGGCTCGGCT